GGCAATCTCGATCAAAATGATGGAACGGCACAGAGAAAAGATAAGTGACCAGTCAGGGGAGGTTGGATTCTTTCGTCAATGATGATCATTAATTTTATATACGTATATATATACACATAGATATACATATATGTATGTCTTCTCATCACATATATATATATATTCTCTTTATGATAAAAAGAAATAGGCGGAGGAAAAGAGAAAGACTATATAGACAACTAAGTAGTCGATCAGTCTCTATAATTATCGAAAAAAAAAACAAGATTTATGCTTTAATATGAATCGCTCGGCTGTCTATTCATTACTAGTATCATGAAGCTAATTTTCTAACATGTCGGCAACATAAGTTGTTCGATTGTGTTGTTGATTGAATATCTATACAATCATCATACTCTCTCTTTCTTAGACAGAATTGTTACGACATAAAATATGATAAATGTTGTTTCATTGTTTCTATCGTTTATTATTTAATGAACAATGTAAAAAATCTAAAATGAATAATGACCAACTCTTGTTCTTATTTCTTCAAATAGCAGAAAAGATTTCTTTTTAGACATACAATCATCGGTCATGCACATATATTAAGCCGGATATTATTTTATCCAGTAATTCACTTAGCACAAGAAGGAAAGGTTTTTTTTTTGGTGTATTTCTTCCTTCTATCTTTTTCTCGGAAATTGAGGTCCATATATTGATGATGACCGGCGCCTCTCGTTCATAAACATCCGAGTTGTATATGGGCGTCATATATTCACTGCAGGAGGCAATAGCAATGGAAAGAGATGCACACGCCTTATTCTATTTGTTCAATAGCTAATCAAGATGTGAGATGAAACATTGATGAACATCATCACTTGTGTGTATACTCAGTCAAAGATGATGAACTAGTTAATAGTGGACATACAGATGTTTTTTTGTTTTTTATGAAAGACAAAAAGGGTCAAGTGTCCATTTACTCTTTGCTCTCAGCTTGATAGAGAAAAGAGATGAGTTGAAATATGACAATTGAATTTATCTTAAATGACAACGAAAATGTTAACATGTGGGAAATACATGCATATATAAATTTTTTCTTTAAAATAATCCATCTGTTCAATAATGAATGTGATGTTTGTCAATTGAAAGAATTAATTGATTCAATTAAGGAATATATCGGTTCTTTTTTTCTTTCTTTTAGCATTAGATCCTTTTAAAACATTAATTACTGAAAATAATATTCTTAATTTAACTGAAGATAATATTGCTGTTATACCATGTGAATTACCAAATGGTAATCCAAGACCTATACCAATTTTTATATTCGATAATAATTATTTAGATGTTGAATCAAAATCAAGTATAAGAAAATAAAATTGATTAAAAGAAAGTTAAACGAAAAAAAAAAATTTTTTTTTTTGGTTTAGATCGATATAAAATTTTACCTAGTGGAAATTTACATATTATTGATATAAAACAATCCGATGCAGGAAAATATCAATGTTCAGCTAAAAATCCATTAACTGGACAAATTGTAAATAATAGTCAAATAACAATTTTACAAATATTTAATAAACCATTAAATAATCAAGATCGTATATCATTAACAACTGTATATAAACCACCTGTTGCTTCAAGGTAAATTCTTTTATTTATATTAGCAATAAAGCTTTTTTTTTTTTTTGAATTTTAATATTTAATTTAATTTATAGAGTTCTTGTTGGAAATAATTTTTCTATTGAATGTGTTATTGCTGGTTGGCCACAACCAATTGTTGAATGGGAAAAATATGGTGATATATTACCTGAAAAACGAAATGAAGTTTTACATGGTACATTATATTTATATGATATACATATGGATGATCGTGGTACATATATATGTCGAGCATCAAGTTCAAATGGTCAATCAGATATAGCTTATACTGCTTTATTAGAAGTTTTAGGTAAATATAATTTAATTTATAAAAACATCAATGAAAAATTTTCTTTTTTAGAACCACCAAAAATTATTCAACGTCCAGATTCAGTTATTCGAATAAATCGTGGAGAAAGTGTATCAATTAAATGTACATTTCGTGGTCGACCTGAACCTATAATTAGTTGGTTATATAATGGAGAAGAAATAACAATTAATGGATCACCTGTTACAGGTATATATATATATAAGTTTCATTCAACGGAAGGTTAAACAAACGGATATTCATAATTATCTTATATAAAGTCACGAATAGACACGAACGAGATTAGTCGTAGTTGATTCCACTCAGAAAAAGATTTGATTTCAATCTCGTTGGATTTTTCATGAAACTATTTATTTTCTTTTAGGTGGTATCTTATCTCTTAATCAACCTAAAGAAGGTATTTATCAATGTATTGGTAGAAATCCATATGGTATTACTCAAGCAAGTACTGTTCTAATTTTTCCAAATAGTATAAAATCAGAAGGTAAAAAGTATTTCTTGAATTTTTAATTTAATCTTCTGTTTTTTTTTGTTCTAGAAAAACTTGATGAACATATTTCATTAAAAAAATCTTTAATTGTTATTGGACCAAATAATATAACTGTATATGAAGGTGAAACAATTCAATTACATTGTTTAACTCAAACAGGTTCAACTGTTCAATGGTTACATAATAATGAAATGATTAATTTAAATTTAATGCGTCGTTATGAAATGCTTCCATCCGGTGGTTTACGTATTGTATCAGCACAAAAATCTGATAGTGGAATATATGAATGTGTTGCATCAAAAATTGGTTTCGGTACACATACAGCTAAATGCTATGTTCATATACAAGGTTTGGGATTGAATGTTCCTGGTTAGTTTTGTCAGTTTTTGTTTTGTGTTTGTTAGATTTTAAAAAAATAAATAGACAGATTGAAAAAAATTCTTCTTTGTTTTAGAAAAAATAAATCTTCCATCAGTATCAACTCGTGAAGGTAAAAAAACCTGAATCTCATCATTCTTTTTGTTTTTTCTTACATATGTTATTTCATTTAGAAATCAAACTTGAAATTATTGATATAAATCAAGTAAATAATAATGCTATTGAATTATATTGGAAAATAAATGAATTAATTGATTTATATATTCAAATACAATATCGATTAAATACACCTAAAGGAATATGGATAACAGATAAAAATATTTATAATCATACAATTACACATGGTATTATTTCAAATCTTGAATATGATCAAACATATAAATTTCGTCTTATTGCTTTTAATTCTAATGGTAAACAATTAGCAATAAGTTTAACTAAACGATTTACATTAAAATTTTTAAATCAATTTTATTTACCTATACCACAAATAACTGATGCATGGATAACAACAGATGGTAAAATAAGTTTAAAATGGAAAGTAAATGATACATATAATGATATTATTGATGGTTATATTATATATTATCGTTCAATAAATTCAAATGATAATTATACAACAATAACAATACCAAATTTACTTTATCCAATAACAGATACATTTACAATATCATCGATTGAATTAAATGATAAATATGAAATACGTATGGCAACATATTCAAATCGTGGTTTAAGTCCAATGAGTAATTCAATTGAAATATCATTACCATCATGTAAATTAA